CCTCTGTCTCACTCTCTCTCTGTCTCACTCTCTCTCTGTCTCACTATCTCTCTTTCTCTCTCTCTCTCTCTCTCTCTCTCTCTCTCTCTCTCTCTTTCTCTCTCTCTGTCTCTGTCTCTGTCTATCTGTCTGTCTGTCTGTCTGTCTGTCTCTCTGTCTGTCTGTCTCTCTGTCTCTCTCTGTCTCTCTCTCTCTCGTTCTCTCTCGTTCTCTCTCTCTCTCTCTCGTTCTCTCATTCGTTCTGTCTCTCTCGTTCTCTCTCTTTCTCTCTCTCCCCTTGTTTTTCTGTCTGTCTCTCTCTCTCTCTCTCTCTCTCTCTCTCTCTCTCTCTCTCTCTCTCTCTCTCTCTCTCTCTATCTATCTCTCTCTCTGCCTTCCAGGCTTCTTCAACTTTGTTTCCTCTGTACAGCTTTCCCAACCGCACGCTTTCCTTGTATTTTTTGTATTCTACTTTCCTCCCACACCTCTTGCACACTTTCTATCTTCCATTTCTTTATTCCTCTACATGCTATCATCTCTCTATCCATGCAATAGGCGACCGCCACCCTGTCGATACCTCCAGTCTTCTCCCACACAAACAAACGCACCGACAGACACACAGGCAAACAGATTTATGCTTATCAGAGTTGTTCTTGTAAAAGTAATCTATTGTAAACTTTTCATTTTCTATAAGTGGTGGTGTTGGATTCCCAAACGTCAGGTCTTATCTTGGCGTGTCCTATCAGCGAGTCCTAATTCAGAGCCTTCTCGTGTGATGGATGGCACGATGGGAAACGTAAAGTGACTCAGTATTTATTTACCCCCAGCAAGGGTTTGTTATAAATCCTATCTGCACATAGTCATATAATAATTATTCAGCACTTTTCACCTTTACAGTGATCCCCCATTTCTATATTTACACAGCATACTCTGTAAAATGGTTAGAGTTTTAAAGTCCTTTTCTGGTTGGAAAAGGTATGGAAGAGGCGTGATATCCGATGGAACGCCCGTCTCCAATAGGAGCGAGCAAAGCGGATAGAGAGTCTTGAGTCATCCACAAATGAAAACAAGTTTGAGAACACAAGGCCTAGGATTCAAACCAGGGCCATCCATTTCCTAGCCCAACATCATAATAAGTGAGCTAAATGTGAGACCCCCCCCCCCTCACTGTATATCAGTTATGTCAACAACAAACAACAAAAAATGACAAGAAGCAAGGAAACAGAAAACATTATTTGGAGTGGTCAGTTTTGGGCGAATCATCTTGTTTAAACGGTGAAATGTATAACTTTTAAAATAATATACATTTCGAATCCGAAATGTCCCATCACTCAAGATGTTATGTATTATGAAATGTAAATACATTTATTTATGGCAATATGGAGAAGTTTATGTCACTAACAAAAGGAGAAAAAATCTTGCTACTGTTCAAATTCTGCCTTATCCCATTGAAACATGTTTGCTTTTTGAAAACATTTAAATGCCCAATGAGGCCCATTTTATTTTACTGTTTAATTTTTTTAAAGAGCTCTTTGCTGAAAAAAAAAGACCAAAGGGGGAATATTCTTACCGAATGTCACGAGTGAGAACGAGTGTTTACCCATATTGTTCAAACAAATCGATCGAAAAGTCATTGTGTGAAAAGAGTCACTCCTCCACCCTTCCTCCCGCTCCTCGCTCCCACCCCCTTTTTTTTTTATCGTACTAATATTTATTTAGCACGACTGAAGTTCCACGACGCGCTGTATTACTGCAGTTTTAATCTTTACCCAGTTTATCAGAACAATCCACCCAGCAAGCTTTTAGGCCTCCTTTGCTCTTGTGTTTTCCTGAAGTAGATCCAACCTCGCTTGGTTTGACTTCCCATCCGAGGACCGGTCTCTTGAGATGTTATCGGGGTTTAGTGGAGTCTCAACTGCTGGTTGATAAACTCGACGATGTCTTGTGTTTTTGTCATGGTCGTTTGGTTGGTTTCTGTTCATATAATTCTCTGAGAACGAGTTTTGTCGAAACGTCGGGTCTTGCTGAAGACCCGTTTGGTGGTTTGAGCCAAAGCCAGTTTGTTTTAGATTGCTTTTTGTTTATTTTGTCAAGTGTTGGACTCACTCATTTAATTTGTTCATATTTGCCCCCGCTGTTGAAGGGTTCATTTTACACTTTAAAAAATTGTATGCGTATCCCTCTCCCTCTCCTATCTCTCTCTCTCTCTGCCC